ATATATATATATATATATATATATATATATATATATATATATATATATATAAGATTATTCACTATAAGTACTACATAAAATTGGTGGTTTCACGGTTTCAAAATACTTAAGATTGCTAAATGAACATCGTTGTGAATGATATATGTTATCATTTTGCATTATAAAAATACTTAGGGTTCGTTTGGTTTGTAGGATTGTTTTTTAAGGATCTGGATTTCATGGAGGGATTTGGAATAAATTTGAAATCAGTGATATGTTTGATTCGTAGGATTTACAATGGAATTGAATTTCATTATATATAAATAATTTACAGAAACTATTATAAATAATTATAAAAATAATTGAATTACATTTTTATTAATTATAAAAAATTAATATTTCAAAAAAATCTTATTTCAAAATTCTATGTTTAAAGAATATCAATTAAATCGTAGGATTTCAAATCCGGATAATCCAACAAATCAAACATGAAATTGAAATGCAAATCCCCTCAATTTCATTTCATTCCTTCAAACCAAATAAGAACTTAATATATTTATCTAATTAAATCTAACGTAAAAATATAAAATCAAATACCGTAACTTTTCTAAGTAGAGATAAAATATTAAACCTTAAAGTCTATTTTGGTTTTGTGGTTGTCATTTTTTTGAAAATTTGGACATGTAATCGCTCCTTTTGCCGTCCAATTCCGTTGCATCATAAAATCAACCAATTTTTATGCACGACAAAAGGGACTTTTGGAGCACCATGACGATATTATGAATATTTTATAAAATCAACATTTTTCTTAAAAAAACTACAAAGTTTATAAAACCGACATATTATATTATACTAGAAGAGTACTCGCGTAATGCAACAGACACAACTCGATTTTAATGTTCTATTTTATTATTTGTCTTTGTCGATGTTATGATACGATTTTATATGTTTTTAAGGAAAACAATAATGATTTTATTTTTAAATAAAATATAAATTTGAAGATATAATAAAATTTTTAAAATATGTATATCACTGTTAATGTCAATCAACTATTTAAAAGTTTTCATTTTTTATGTAATTTCTTTAATTTATTTTTTTATTATAATTTAATTTTAAGTTTAATAATGAAATAATTTATTTTTGGTTTAATAA